TTAAATAAAAAGGTCTTAGCCTGGTGCTGAAAAACAAATAACGACGGCGCCAGGCGGACCTTTTTATTTAAAACTTATTTTAATTGCTAAATTATTGTATTTATTAGGATTTTAAATTAGCCGAGAATGCACCGGGGGTTTTAAATGTTTTTTTTCTTTTAAATTGTTATATTGTTATTGTTTATGTATTTTTTTTGTATTTTTTGTGAGCCACCCCAAGGCTTTGTTGCGATGGGGGTGGCATAGAAATGTTTTAAATAAATAGATAGATAGATATAGATATAGATAAAAGAATTGCTTTGGCGAGTATACATACAAATATGGCTTCTGTCCAGCAGTGTCCTTCTATTAGCATATTGAGCATTGCCGGCAGCACAAATTGTCCCACTCCACTGCAGCCACTTGCATACCTCTGAAATTTGCTCCCAAAGTTTGGGGGATCTGGAAGTTTGTGGTGCATGCAGGGTGTTCCTGGGGAAGAGGAAACTCCATCTGCATGAGCAAAAGTCCACTTGGATACCATTGGATCAAGCCCTATCTGTAAACGCGCGACACTGAGTGTGTCATGTACCTGTGTGAAGAACTCAGGAGTTCATAGGGCTTCTGTTTATTGTCTGGCTTCATGAACAGGCCGCTTCAGAAGAGTGCTGTGTGCGGTTATGCAATTGCCTCTGAGCCTGAGTGGTCTCCATGTGGAGTTCGGGTTCAAACAAACTCTTCCTCTGCATGGACAAGGCCTGGGTGCACGCCTGCTGCTAGGCTTGCCTAGACCAGGGGCTGTAGCTTTTGGGTTGCTGTGAAAATGAATTGGTCCTCAGATGCTGCCTTAAAGCAAACAAATTAAAAATTGGAACAGACTAAGTGGGCAATAGAATATACTAAAGCATTTTTATATATTGATGAATATTTTGGTGAACAACAGCTCTATATTTGATTATATCGTGATACTGTCCCTATTTCCAGGCTAACATCCACATCCCAATGGGTGCACTTTTGCCTGGGGCAGGCCAGCCTCCGAAGAGAAAGGAATTTACTGAACCTACTGAGGTAAGAGCAGTATATGCTTAAGTGAGCAGCACACCTGAGGGAAGACCTCAGCTGCTGGATGGAATTTCATCCCTCATTGCCTTAGGAAGCCATATCAGGATCAGCCAGTATAAAATCAATTCTTTCAAATCCAAAACGGATGGATCCTGTGTACAACATGTGTTCAGCCAAACAAAAATCCCACCACACAAGCATTGCAAGAATGGTTCTGAAATGTTCCTCTGGTCCTCCTCCAAGTTCAGGGGTGGTGACTGAAGCTCATCCATGGCCATTTGCGACTCTGGCTGAGGTTGAAGCCTTTGGAGTTCAGCAGCATCTGCAGAGCTTACAGGTTTACCTTCACTGCCCTAGCTGAAAAGCGTCTCTTTCCAAGCTCTGATGGGTGCTGTATTCCAAAAGCCAAAAACAAAACCATAGCTATCAGAAAACATTACTATTTTTTAATCTATCTATTTTTAGGGTTAATGTAATAGTCTTCAAAAAGCATCTGCAGGAAGTCCCAGTTTGGCTCAGGGCTGCACTGTGGGAGAAAACATTGCTGTCAATCACCAACCCCATCATTCCACAACCCTAATCCAAATCTCTCTTCCTGAGCTACTAGTTATATTCAAATGGGTACCCATGTGCTGTTCCTTCTGTAGCTAACAGCAACTGACTGGGTTGCATTTTATATACCAGGGAATGCCGGCTGGTGATCAAGAACCAGACCTGGTCCCAAAAGCAGTTTCATCAGGCACTGCTCCAACATTTTAACTTAATTAATAGTAAAAAGTTGGAACCCTGTTTTCAAAGCTTGGAAGTTTATGAATTCCTCTGTTCAGTGTTACATTTCTCTTCAGTTTCCTGTGTGATGCCTAGGAGTACCTGATGCATCCCACAGCTGTGAAGTTAATCTTGCATTGAAATGCTCACCTGGCTGCCAACGTTACCAAGGAGATACATAATGGTGAATAAGTCTGAAGAAGAAAACTTTCCATGCCCAGAGTTTTCCGTCCCTCCCTTGCCAGGTTATCGCTGGTTAGCTTGCACATAGGTATAAACCTAGATATAGATTCAGGTGCATAACTTTTGTGGGTTTATTTGAAAGACTGCCTGAAATCCTTGCTGCTAAATTATGCTAATTTTACCTAACATGGAACCTGTCCATTCCTGAAAAATGCAGGATTGGTGAGAATATCCCCACTGCCAGGCTCCAGCCTTGACAACAGAGCAACCTCCAAAATGGTAGAAGTTATACATTTCTGATTTAAATAATGCAGGATATATTGACAAACTCAGGTCAACAGCGCATTTTTATTCAGTCTGTGCATGATACAACCAAAGTTAAGTTATATTACGTGCCCATAATTTCAAGTAAATTTTGATAAGTATAAAACTTGGTGGTGCTGTACTTTGCTTGGATCATACTCTTCCTTACCTGTCAAGTCACAGCAGCTATATGTTCAAATGTGGAATATTCATCATAGCGAGTTAGGATTTTCATGGTGCTGAATCTCTTCTCCACACAGCAACAGCCAGCTGTCATCTTGAAAACTTGTAAGATTGTACAATTTAGTCATCAAACTGCGCTTAACAAAAATTCAAAAAAACAGACAATGTAATTTGAGTACTTGGAAGTATACATGCATTGGAGTTCAGTGGGATGCAATGTAGGTAGATTTTTAGATATAGATGGAAACAGAGTGAAAGGGCAAGAAGCAAGGAAACCATGTAGGAGGTGTGAACATTTCAGATGAGAACACAGTCTGTTCAGCTTAAGATCTCTTAGCATGAAGTAATTTACCACCACAAGACATCTAAGTAATTCTATAAACTTCAAGCCAAAATCTAATTTCGGACACATGGGACTTGGGGAGGAAGTGTGAGGGGGGCTTCAGGCACTCTGAAATTCAATAATGGCTTTCAAAAGAGAAGTTCCAGAGCAGAACCTTTCTGGATCATGATACAGCTTTCCCCTGAGCCATTTTACACCATGTAACTGAACCCATTTACCAGTTACAAAACTGAACTATTTTCATTGATTTATTTTAACAAGGTTCTTTGTGTGTGCTATTGAAGAATGGTTTTAACATGACTTGATTTTTCCCTTTGGTCCAATGCTATAGAAACTATGTAAACCCTGTTTAATTTCTTTCTTAAATCTAAATGTATTTATTTGTTACATTTCAAATCTGCACACATTACATTTGAAATGTTACATTTCAAATCATTCCTGGGCAAATTGCAAATAGTCACAAGACTAAAATGCCATAAAACAATTAAATATTAAATATAATATAAATATTTAAAAGCATATGAGGATGAGCATCTTTCCCTTCCTTTTAAATAAAGAAAAGAGATCATTCTGGTGATCTACCTATTATTATACCACCCAATTGCTAAAGTATGTTTAATTTTAGGTTCTGGAAATTCCTATGCACCGGATGTCTCAATACTAATTTATATTTCATAGAATTTTTAGATGTCATTCAAGAAGAATTATTTGAAGAAGCATGCTTTAAGAATGTTTCAAATGTTTACATAACATTTTTAAAAATTTTAAAGAAAATAATCTGTGGATACTAAGGGATTTTATTAACATGCTGAAATATTCCACAATTCATTCATAACATAGCACAACAACATGCAAGAAATACTCCCTGCCTTCCTACAAACTAGAACAAGGGTCTTTTTTTACTTAAATCTGTTTCTGCTGTTTTAGAAGTATCACAAAGAAGCCAAATCACAGACTAGTCTTGATAGTACCAGTTTCTACCATCATTTTTTCTAAGTATGTTAGTTGACCATACCGTAACCAAGTTCAAAGTTGAGAAACATGCTAATCTTTGAAAGGGGCTCTCATCCTGTGTCATGCTCTGTTTGCTGCCCTGGGAAAGGAGAAGCAATAAGGTCTTGCAGCAAGTGAAAAAGAGAAGATGCCTACACTCAGCATCAATGCCCACAGAATAAAGGAATAGGAAAAATCCCCAAATTTCTGCTACACATTTTTTTGGGTGGGATTGAAGAGCATGCAACTGGGCTGGCAGAAATTGATTCTCCTATTCCAGCTTCCCATGGCAGCCCTTTGAAAATGCACAGAGAAACAGAAGTTTATAGGATCAACCCACTGAATGGGGTGAGCTGTGGTACAGGGGGTTTCTCCAAAACTGGACAAAGCCACCTCTGTGAGCAGAGCCCTTCATCAGTGGAAGGAAGATCCTAGATCCAACCCATGGCCATCTCCTCCTTTTCTCATTTGTGCTGCATGAAATAATGTCTTTTATAGTTAGGGTGTCCCTAAACCTTGAACAACTGGAAGTGAGAAATGGACAGTTGAGAACTTTAATTTATCATACTTACAGTATTGCTAAACCCCCACAAAACTGATCTGGTTACCTTATGTATCAGAAAACTAGACTGGAAAATGACCAGGTAAAATAATTCTTATATTTTTCAAAAGGCACACATTAGATAGTATCAGTGTTGGTACTGCCTCTGTAACCCACTTTGAGACAAAACCCATCAATAATACTTTGAGGTCATTGTTTTTCACACAGAGTGTTCCTACTCCAGAAGAAGAAGAAAAGAAAAAGACTTTGCCAGGTGCCAAGAAGCTACCAGGCCCAGCTGTTAACCTGTCAGAGATCCAGAACATAAAGAGTGAGCTGAAATATGTCCCGAGAGCTGACGAATAACAAAATGGTAAGGAGAAAGTATTATTCATGCCATTGCACAAGTGTTGATTAAAGCACATCTTACATGTATACATAAGAGGGAGTTGTAGTCCAAAACAGCTGAAGGGTGTGGTAGGTTGGTGAAGTGTTGTCCCGAACTCAGACTGAACCAGTGGTCAGAAAGTAGAAAGATTTTACAGGGGAACCTATGTATGTTCCATTCAATAATTGTGGGCACCTCCAAGTTTTCTGGAGTTCCAGTCATGTAGGGCTCCCAATATGGTACTGGCTCAGCCAAATGTCCCAAATGTACATATACATATGTTCCTTCAGAGCTTCCGCCAATGCACAAGAACTGGGGATGCAGCTGACGGGGGCATGGACTGCATGCTTTATACAACTGGTTTGTTTCAGTAAATCATAGTTAAGTTTAACCATAGTTCAGGGTTTAGCTAATACTAAAACCATAGTGAATTGAAAATAGTAACAAACTTATCTGAATCACCTTTTGCAGCTGTGCCAGAGTGGAATGCACAAACCTGAGATTTACCCAGGTTTCTTCACATAATGCTAAATTGTATCCAAGCATTGTATTCAAGTTTATGTTTTGTCGGACAAAGAATCTGAATCTTAATTAAATATAGTTTATTCCATTACAATATAAGTGGGGTTTGTGTTTGTTTAAGTGAAAGGTGTGTCAAGAGGTTTTTCTGTCCAGAAAAAAATACTCATATTTCAAGCAGAATTTAAGTGCTGTTAGTTAGTAAAAATGTTTCTCTGGGTTTGTAGATGACCATTGACAGTTTAAATAGTTTATGAAAGCTGCTTTATATACCATACTGAGCTATCTTGAAAGCTTGTGTGCTTTTTCTTTCCATCCATTTTCCAAATGAATCACTTCAACCGGCTATTGAGGGCCTGGAGTTTTTGAGTCCCTTACAAAGACTATAAAATCTACCTGAAGTCAAGCACACACAGTTTTTCCTTAAGCAGAAGAAGTCAATAATCTGTTTTATGTTCACTTGGGAGCTGACATTCCATGGCCAACCTACTTCTTCATTTTATTTGTCTTTTGAGATTATAACTTCCTCAGCTTTCCTGAATGCAAAATCTTTCCAAGTATAATTCCACAATGCCTAAATAGTTTTTGGTGCTCCAGGCTGGGTATCTGTTCTTGCACCAAAAAACCCCTGAACACTGCATAACTCCAGAAAGTGTCTTGCTGGAATAAACCTTGTCTGACTAATTCTGGACTCCCAGCTTTGGGTGTCCTTTTACTACAATTCCAGATCCAGCTCTCCATCCAGGGATGCTTTGTCTACTGCCTTTTCAGATTTAAACGATCCTCGCTCACTCACTCAAAATATAAGGGACAAGTATAACACCTTCTGTCTTATTAGCTTATACTTCAACCTGCTTTCCTTTGTCTCCAAATACCAAAAAAACTTCAAGGGGGACGTCTTATTTGCTGCCACCTTACTATTCATTTTGCTTCTCCTCCTTCATTTCCTAGGACTTTGGTTTTACTTTTAGAGAAAAGCTCTAATCTCATCTCCGTATTTTACAGGTAACACTCCACTACCTAGACTATGTAAAGATGTGGATACTATATTCCTTGTGCCTGAGAACAAATGCTAATTTCTACCCAGCTCTACCAAACTGAGAGTAGCAAAGTGACTGTCCTATAGCAAAACAGAACAGGGCTTAATTGCAAAGCAGTACCCTTAACTTGAAATAGTAAATTCCCTCAGTCTGTTTGTGTCCAGGAAGGGTTTATTGAATAAACATGGAAAAGTACTGTGCAGATTCTGGATGCAGCTCTTCTTGAGCAAATGTGGTACCACTTTACTATGCCAAAGGGAGAAGTGGAATTCATAGGAAAGTGTTCCACAGACTCACCCCTAATGCATCCTTAGCATCTTGGAATCTATCAGACTCCTGTCTGGTTTACTGTATCCTAAGCATGAGCAGAAAAGGAAATGCCAGGGTATGATGAAATTACCCTGCATTAAGATGTAATTAAAATTTAGATACATTATTGAGGTAGCTATGTGGAGTAGTATCCTCCACAGCACCCTAATTCTGTCAAAAAGTCCTTTGAATTATTCCCATTGCAATTATTATCATTCTATACATGAGAAATCCAGGATAAGAACAGGAGATATGCTCAACAGCAGGGATTTGAGGGTAGAACTTTCATTTGCAAAACAAAACCTCTATATGTCCCACTAAGCTGGTTCTATCACTAACCAAACCTGACCCTGCTCAGTTTCTGAGCTCAGATAAGATTAGGGATGTTCAGCCTGGTAAGGCTATAGGCAATCTGGCTCTATTAGCATCAGGTAGTGTTTTGAAAGATCTACTGTGAAGATCTTTCTATATGCCTGATTTATGTTTTTGTTACTTGTGCAATTAAGAGAGATCACAGGGCATTAGTGACTGAGTCAAATCAGATCAAATTCAATTCAGACTCACATTTGTGTGTGTCTGATTATTTTCCCACCCAAAGGGGGAAAAACAGAAATCTAGTTATAACACAGGACCATGGCAGGGACCTGGTCGGTTAGGCTTAAATGAAAAGTTTTATAAGACATAATTGAAAATAATCATCATCATGACACTGAAGCTAATTAATTAATTAATTAAAGCAAACCTTAATTAAAAGGAGGAATTCTCATGGCTCCCTCTCAGACCTCTTCCTATTTCTTATCCTACTGGAGGTCAACATAGCCATTCAGCACCTGCTTTTTTATGAAGTGCAAATGTCTCCTCTTATTCTTTCCCTGAAGGCTGTTGGGTTTTCAGCTGCCCTCTCAGTTCTCCTTTCAGCTGAGCCCATGAAATCAACATGAAAGCTACATGTGCAACATAGTGCAATGATTGTACTCGGGATTTTTCACTGAGCGTGCATAAAGCAAAAATCTTGTATGCTGTCATTACACGTTATGATCTATACATGGGCTTAACTTCATTCTGAGCAGAATGTTGAAGAACCCATAGGAGTTCTAAAATTCGGTAACTAATTTTAAAGTTCATATCTTGTCTTCAAAAATATCAGTTGAGCATGAAAAGCTTTTGTCTGTGCTCATGGAAACAGCCTGAATTTGTCCAATGTTGTCTGTTTTTCACCGCTTCCCACCTTCCCTGCCCTCATTCTGGCATGCATACCCTTCTCTGCACAGAGCTAGAGTTGTACAGTTGCTGCTCTGATGGATGGGTTCATTCAAGGTGCCATAGCGATTGCAGAGCGCATAGTTCCTGCCAATTCACCAGAAGATCAAGCTCCATGGAAGTGAAGGCCCCTATTGCTTCAATTAAAAGATTGCTCTTTTCATTTCTTTGTAACAACTTGATAGGGAGAGGTACAATGTACAAGAAACTTCAAGGAGAACATAATGAGAGACCTCTGACAGAGAATATTATACAGTGCTACCAGTGCTCTATTCATGGGCATTGTATGAGCCGTTTGAGTGACAGAATTGTACTTGAGATATTATGGCAACAGGCACTATCAAGATAAGGTAGTAATAAATAATGCACATAATTAACCTTCAAAATTGCACCTACTTTTCAGCACCGTAAGTCTTCCAAATACTTTCACGAATGGGTCTCAAGGATGTGGAATAAAACTCTTCCCCCTATTAATGTCTCAGCCAGATTCTATATAGTTGCATAAATTGTAGCCAATTAAGATGACAAAGTGATCTCAGATATTGTGGCTCAACCTGTAATCGGGCTAATTCATTTCTGATTCACTTTGTCTCCCATCACTCCCTTTTGTAATTTTCTCCCTCATGTCACTTGATAGGAGGCTAAGTTATTCTTTCATTGTATTGCTTTATACTTTTTAGTATGTTTTTATTTGAGCTTTTGCATTTCATTTGTCCTTGTAAAACCCCTCAGGTCCTCCATGAGATTCTAGCATTCATGTGGGTCTCTGAGCATACTGGATACATTGCTACTTTGGGTTGGAACCATAGGTAACATCTGGCAGGACAAGAGCAACTGGCTTTAGCTGATGGATATATGTGAGCAAGGACTTACTCTTCATTTCAGATTTTGATTCTCTGATACACGATGTATAGCCATTTACTCACTAGAGTATTCACAATTTACAGCACAATCCTAAACATAATTCAGAATGATAAATAAGTTGGACTCACTCCTGAATGAATGTGTACAGCCTAATTAGTTTTTTTTAAAATATAGAATTGATAGGGCATAAAACCCAGTAATATTCAAAACAGAATATCTGTATGAATACAAACAACTTGGAACCAACACATGCCCTCCAGGTGTTTTGAATACCTGACTGGTAGCTATATTGCTATATTACTCCCGGAGTTCATGGGAGTTGGAGTCTAAAAATGTTGGAGGGCAGCAGATTTTTCCATCCCTAAATTACTGAGATGGATTATATGGTGCATGACAAGGAGCCTATGTGTTAACCATTTTTCTCTCAGTTCTCTAGATTTCATTTCTAGTATTAGAAATGAACTAATTCTGGTCAATGAAGGTATACCCCTAGAGATTATTTTCTGTAGCTCAGACAGTTTAATACAGTCTCTTCCTGTCTCTGGGTGACAACTTGTCAAGACAGATTTTTTAAACAAATGACCCAACAGCCATATAGTTAGAATTGCTCCTTCACAGCTACTCATCATTTCTTTTGCTGTTCTGTCCGATCCCTTAATGAATGGAAACATCACATGTAACACTACCATGCAATGGCTTAGATGTCATTTCAACATCTATCCACACAGTCCAAAATTCAGAGTTTGAATGTCTTCAGTTTGCAATAAGCAAGCAGCAAAGACAGCCGAAAACGTACCCGTGCCTATCTTTACTTGTGTACTGGATTCAGCCATTGTCCCCATGCCAACTGCTAAATTGTCATTCACTGAGGTAGCAGTTCAACCTAGAAAGTGTTTACATATTGGGTAACTATCTTCCAAAGCGATCAGGGACATTTTCTTGCAAAGCACTCAGAAGAACAGTGCTCTATCTCATAAGAGACATCAAAGTAGCATTCCTCAGAAACTTTAAAAAATGGAAGACATGTCCCTTTTGGAATAGAACAACCTGGGAAAGTACAAAGCAGGGAAATGAATGAACCTTCTTAGTTGTTCTTTTGCCTTGAAAAGGCCTGTTACTCCCCTCATAGAAAGTAAAAGCAAGCCTGCAGCTTGCAGTCAGGTTCGGTCTTTTTTCATATTCCTTGCCAAAGGGAAAACATTGTTCCAAATGGTGAATATGCCCAGTCTGGCCGTACAGAACTGTTCACATAGATGAACAATAGTAGTGGCCGAAAGTGCACTTAGAGGAAAAAGCTCTTCCCTATTTCCAGACAAACGTATGGGGGAGGCAGTAGCTTATCTGCATCTGACTGTAATACTGCTCCCAAAAGAGATAAATGGGAAAATGCTTTTACTTTACAATCAGAAAAGAACTGAAAAGCCATCCCCAACAGCAACAGGACTCCAGTTTGATATGGAAAAATAATATCTCAACAAAAATTATTTCAGACCTTGAGGCTGGAGAAGCAGAGCATTTCTTTAAGATCAAGCAAAATAAAATACTATTTATAGGGAGTAAAACACAAGCATTATTTTTTAAAAAATTCAGTAAAGGGCCTAGATCCTGAAAACAGTAAGTGAAAGGAACTTTATGGAAGGAGATATTTTTGTAGTCCTCCCTCAAAGGATGTGCAAACCAGCAAAGCTTAATCTTGCCAGATGACCCCAAATTCCATCTCAGAGCTCATTTCAAATCACAGTTACAGATATGGATTTCTTGCAAAACCAGACCCCAAAAGTGCATCCCCACCAATTTCTGAGTACATCTACTAGTTTTCTTTCATCTTCACTTTTGTAGAGAGTTTTCAGGTTGGTGGTTTCTATGAACCACTGGTTCACTGTGAATCTCCGGTTTCTGTGAAACGGAGATGTTTCCCAGAAACATTGTAGTTTCTTTAAATTACAAACTACAGCAGTAGTCCAGTATTTAGTTCATCTTCCTGAGAAAGGTAGGCTGCCTTTCTCTACCTCCTTACCTGGGAATAAGTCCGATTGGCATCTCTGTGGCATACTTTTGAGTAGATAGGTATAGGTTTGCATGACTAATGCTGTTTTTCATATCACGTTCCTTTTTCCCTTCACTGGTAGGTCAACAAGGCATTGAGCTTGTCTAAAGTATGTTTTTGCAGTTATCTCTGTCTCCAATTTCATTCTGTGAAAAGTATCTTTTCATATGTAGAATCACAAGTGTTAGTTATATCTAGACCCTATTGTTTTAGAAGCAGAAAAGTAAGGCACACAAATGTATTTTTTCTGAAGGAGGGCACAGCAATAAATGAACAGTTCTGTGCATATGTGTGTTTGCAAGTTGCATTTGTGTTTGTGCTTTCATCCAGCTTAAACTAGAGTCACTGGCTGGGATTATACTGGAATTACCTTTTCTGTTTTCTTTTCTTGGTCGAGGAAGTGCCCCTTTACATACACAGCTGAATTTAGCCGCAGAAGCTGCTTTGATCTGCAGGCACCAGTTGTTCCTCAAGGCGGCACTCAAGCACTATTTATTTAACAGCATTGATAAGCTTCTTTGCAGTCAGCTTTTAATGAAGTATGTTTGACGGAACCTTTAGATGTCATTTGGATTTGGACTTCTGTTCAAATCTTGTGGTTTAATTATTATTTTTAGTTCTGTGCAGCAATGACAGCTGCAGTGCATCTTTCTCCCAGGCTGTGGCTCCTTCTAAGAAATGCATGTGCTGAACTTATTCTAGTCATTTGCTCATTTAAGTATAAAAGCAGAGCAAACTATTCAGCTTGTTTCACAGTTTGGCCTACTGGGTTTCCCTGACAACCAGAAACCTATTTCCTGTCTGTCTTTCTTTCACATTTTGCTAATAATGTAAATTAGTAATATGTTCTTGTCTCTTATCCAACAGGGAATGATAACATTCTGCTTTTCTTAGCTATTGCTTGGTTTTTGTAATGGTTTGTGTATAGATAATAAGGGATGGATGGATGGAAACCTTTCACAGCTGTGTAGGCATAAAGTTTACAGTGGGTGCTTAGACCCTTTAAGAATGAGTTTCTTTGAAAACTTGTATTCCCTTCATTCTATTCCAAGCCATATTCCATGGATTAACTTCTACCCACCATCTCTTTATTCTTCCAACTGTCAACTGACAGAATTCCCACCATAACCAGCTGTCATTTCATGGTCCTGTCAACAAGTCCTTCCTACTTACTTGAATGTTCCAGACTCTGAGTGATCTCCTGCCTTCCCTCCAAACACAAACCCCAAACATGGTATCATTGCAATACTATTTTCAATAGTATCAAAGTTAGTTTTTCTTGAGCAGAAGTACAAGATACTGCAGGTTGCTTAAGCTTAAACAGTATAGGCAGCATTGTACCTTAGTAGCAGAAGTGTAACATGAGAAAGCTCTTCCTCCATGTTGAGAAACTCCTTTGATCTCTTCTAAGATCACCTTTAAATGTCACCAGTCAGCATAATCCTATGGAATTGCATAAGCGGCATTGATGAAAGCGGCACCTAACTCTATCTGGGTACTTAGGGAATCATTATCCTTTGTACCACGAGTGTAACACAATGTTCCCTCTCATCTTGTGTTGTCTTTACACCTTGCTCTTTTTGACCACATCTAAATGGAAGTGAAATACTTAATGTCATATTGACAAGTATATGCATGCTGAATCACTCTGATTTGTGCTGAAGAGTATAATTACACAGACCCCTTGTTAAATGTCCTGCATATATTTGCAAATTAATTGTGATTTCCTTAGAGGAATTACGTGAAGATGGCTAAGTTTCTCACATGAGACTCAATCATATTTTCCTGCATTTTGATTACTGATCGTCGCCTGTGAGTAGATACTCATTAGTTTCCTTAGGTCAGGTCCTTCCATTGTTGCAACTGAATTTGAACCCTGAGGTCAATCCATCCTGAAAACTTGCAAGAGAATATAATCATCTGCCAGCAACCCAATAGCTGTCATGTCCTGTGTTTACTGATATTACGCATAACATAATCAGCACTGGGAAGTCAGCCAGCCCTTGGGCTGGCTTCATGACATATAAACTTACCTTTATTCTTAAGTGACATTGGTGAGAACTGACATGTTCAGTGTTGCTCGCCAGAAACGAACCGGTGTAGAGAGTGGTTGGTTCTTCATTGATAACTTGCAGCACAGTTCTGTACATGTGGGTGGTTGTTTGTTTTGGACACAGGTTCTTTGGGTTGTTTGTTCCATGGGTCTTACTCTCAGGGACTGAAGGTTGTTAGCCCTCAAACACTTTCTGTGTTCCTACTTTTTATACAGACTCAGGTGCAAGCTGAGCAGGGAGTCAGGAATGTTCTTTACTCAGAAATACAAAACTTTCTTTCAGGTGATTTATAATCCTGCTTGGACTAAGGTACAGCCTGTTGCAATCTTTGATAACAGTTGTTCCAATACTGTTATTAATACAAAGCTGAAGAGCATTCTGCAGTGAACGTGTGTATTTCAAAGTTTTTTATTCATCTGAACTAATCTGGTATGAGAACATTCTGAGCTGAGGTTGGCAGTTGCTTGTTGTATATATATGTCTGGTTATTTTTACTATATCAATGCAAATTAAAAGATTAAAGATTTTTTTTAAAGGGACTAGAAAAAAATGAAAAATAATGTCAGTTCTTCAGCATGTAATTGTAAGAAAAGTATGACATAGATCACAGGAAAGGTGCACTTTCACCTGAAAACATGTAAGAACCTAAGTCACTTTTCAGCTAGACTACTGTCCCGAGCTAAAACTTTCCATGACGTCTTATAGATATAGAATAGTAAATACAAAGTCACATTGCCATAGTCAAACTGGTAAGTGCAGAATATGTGCTGTTTTAATAGTCATGGTGGATAATCCTGTCTCATTGTCTGAAAAACTTAATTGAACACATTTTGGTGGACTAAATTTAAGCTGGTGGGTTTGGCCTTACATCTGCCTGGGGCTTTTCTTTTAGATGATCAGATATATTCAATTAATTGCTAGTGATAGGTGAACTGTAACTCTAATGGGAGTCAGAATTGGTTGTAATTTCCAAGCCCAGCTGAATGAACACTCCAGAGAAAGTGTTCATACATTTTTAGTTTCTGAACCACACTTGAAGTTTAGCATTTGTGCATGACTAAAGAGCACCTGGGCAATGTAGAATGCTGAATGTGATATACTTGCACATGACAACATGTGTCATGATTTATTGTTCTCTGGCCATTTTCACATGTATTTAGTTGATAAACTGACTAGATTGACATGGAGTTACTAAAGGGTTAAGTTGAGTAACATCTGAGCAACATCTGAGATCTGAGTAACATCTGTAAAGAAGGATGCTACCTTGACATGGCACAGATCCGTAGCAGCAAGCAGCTGATTGTAAGTTCTGACAAAGTCAGTCTTGGTGCTGCACTCGTCCTCTGCTGTCCCCGTCCCCTGCAGAACTGATGGCATGCATATTTTAAAACATGACATGGAGTCCTTTGTGCAGCTGTCAAGATCAGGCTGATGGCAGCTGTATTCCAGCACACTTACAGCATGGCTGCAGGCCTAGTGGTTTGGCTAAGATTGTGAGCAAGTCTTGCTCAGGATTTAGACAATTCATGGAAGTGGAAGTCAAAGTCTGACTCTATCCAGGAAGGCAAAGGTGGGCATTGTAGCAGCAGATTTGCTGATGTAGCATGACTAGGTCCGGGGTGAGTAAACTTCAGGCTTGGGGATCTTCTCTGTTTTTTATTAGAAAGCATGACCACAAATGGCGCAAAAGTGTGAGTGGAGGAAGAGTAATGTTGCTGTTGCAATAAAGAGGTGTCAGAAACCTTCCTGATCTTCTGCAAATCACTTGAGAGCTCTAATAATAGATCCAGATCTGTACTTTCTGCCTCCCTTTGGACTAAATGACTTTCTGTCCCTACGATTGTATGACTGAAGAGGAAATAAGAGGTGAGGATGAGGAAGATGGGTGAAGTAGAGAACACTGGAGTGACCCTAGTGAGTTCATGGTTAGCAGAATGTCAAAAACCAAGTGACACCCTCATCTTGGGTAGGGGTTACTTGAGGCCCTTAACTAAGGAGGAATATAGGCTAAGAGCTGTCAGGACTTGTCCTAAAAATAAAATAATAAAATAAATAAAATGCAGAGCAAAGTGGTCCACTGTCAGCATTTGCTAACTGGGTCTGCTACCTCTATTTCTGAAGAACACTGGCTGTAGTTCTGACACATTCAGCACTTGACTGTACTTGTCTTTTTAAGTTTTTCATCTTTTTCCAAATCAGCCTGTAGGACTTCTCATTTTATGCAACATTTTACAGTTTATTTTTGTCCCTTTTAAAATACAATGTAGGGCAGTTTTGCTGCAGCAATAGAAAAGAGTTTTTTTTCTTCCTTTTTTGGCATCAGTCTACATACATCTGTTGCTTAGGAACAGCAGGGACCAAAAAGAAAGTCGAAGGATCCATCATTACAAGAGCTTTCTGGAGGCTTTAAAAACAGAACAACCAGAACCTGTTCATTTTGCTTTTAAACAGACCTTCAACTGGATCACCCACCCTTCCATAGCCTAGCTCAGAACTACATAGGTAATTAAATGTGTGAATTAAAAACTAGCAATTGTGGATCAGTAAGAAATAACACAGCCTATTCTACTGAAGGAGCCTTTCCCCCTTGGTGGTTTAAACATGATGATGATAATATGCTTAATATTGCTACAGGAACTGTGCTCTTTGATCTGAGTACTAGAAACAGCTGTGCATTCCTTTGGATAGGAAGGTGGTGTCAAACCATGTTGCCAGCTGAAAAGAAGAAATGCACCAGGAGAAGAACCATCTGAGTAAAGCTGTATCTCCCAACACTTGCCATTACCTTCTCCTGAGGGAAAACATTTCTTGCCTGCCACATGACAAAATTTCCAGTCTTGCATAAACTTGAAGCCAAAGTGAGAAAAAGTTGCTCATACTCCATTACCACACTAGGTTATTTCTAAGCAGAGGCCAAAGGTAAATTCCTGCTCAGGCCAGAGAAAAATAAATGGACAGATGCTAACTTTCTTTGCTGTAATTCATAATGCAAGAATATTTGAACTGCATTCTGTTTGTACTTTACTGAATTTCAGCTGCAATCCTGTGCTCAGCCATACATCCTGTTGCTCTCAGTGGGTTTCTCAGCAGGCATAAATATAATTGCACAGTTATTTTATCTCCTTTTCCTCAGAAAGGTTTATTTGTTGAAACTATTGTCTAAATGCTAAGGGAACAAACACTTTTCCTGTATCTAAAGCAGGGATAACAAACATCTGGCCCTCCAGATGTTGTTCGACTACAGCTCCCAGTTTCATTCACCAGTGTGTGTGCTGGCAAGGGTTGATGGGAGTTTCAGTCCAACAACATCTGAAGGATCCCCTTTCCCCCGTCCCCACCCTGGACTAAAGGAAAAAAAAATCCTATTCTCTTTTACTAGCATTGCTACTATGAAACCTCATGTCCTCATTTCATTCACTTAAACTGTCCAATAAGTGATTTAATTGCAAACTTTTGTCCATGCAAATACAATAGCTCTTGCATGTTACCCAGAGGACAACATATAAAGAAGCTTTAAGAGTATAATTCAGCAATCACTCATCATTTGAAACTGTATAAAGGGCATGTTTTATTATTTTTTAAGGTCCTGTATACTAACGGGGACAGTGGTGAGTAATACAGCTATAAATGGGCTCAGCTGAGGAGTAAACATCACATGGTGTCTGTCTTAGATTCTTGTTGAGTGGGAAACATTTCATGCATCTTTGGACACATAGCATACAATTGCTTGATTTTAGCTAGAGGGACATCAAATAGGGACATCAAAGAGTTCTAACTTAGCCCCAATAATGTGATTGTATATAAAGGCCTTGAGTAAGGCTGCAGTGGTAAAGTGCTTGAAAGTGGCATAATACAAATTGATAATACAACCAAAACTTAAGTCTCCGTGCACATGAATCTTATGTCCATGATTAATTATATGATACACAGCCAGCCAGCCAGCTATCCAGTGTTTGCTCCACATGGTATGGATTCTGAAATGGAACGGGGCAGATCATGTTTCAACCCAAATTCAGACCTGCATATTATTATTAATATTTGAAGTAAATCCTTCTGTTCATGCCACTTATTTTTTTTAAAGCTGATTTAAGTGAAAACTTGAAAAAAAAAACCTGTACAATTTGATCTTTTTTTTATTTTTTTTTTTTTATTGCTACTAGAAAATTAATTTTCTCAACACCTTCGAATAGATCCTACAGTCCTAAAAGAATGAAAAGGTGGGGTGAGGCAGATTTCTGGGATCAGACTACCAGGTGCACAGAATAAGTTGGAAACGTATGGAGCATAAGAAAATGAATATGCACAGCACCCCAGGAACTATCCAGTAGCCATTATCAGTAATTAATTCATTAACAAAATACTCTTATCCTCACTGAAATCAATAAAAAAACTTTCATTGAGTAGGGCAAGTAGGATATATACCCACCCATACACAACAGAATTACTTAGAGGTTACGTAGAATACCAAAGCAGTTGGTTGAAAAGTTGTTAGGAAAATGGCCCAAATGTTGCTGGCAGAAAGACTGTTCCCCCTGACATAGGAAGCAAACACACCAGGTTTATTCATGTAGCCTTCTGTGCGCAATTTCTTCCATTCCCAGCCTTTCATTGATCTCTGCTGGAGCTGAATTTCAAAACAGTTTTGCATTTGGAAGCCTAGAACTGGAGATCCGAGGTGACACAAAAGCAGCCTGCAGCAGGAGGAAAATGTTACCCATGTGAATACATTGCCAGAATTTAATCAAGGCTGTTCAGTTTGGAGTGAAAAAGCATCTTGGAAAAAAAAGTGGTGTGCTAATTTACAAATGATCACAAGTTTATGGTATTCAGTGAAATCAAAATCAATAAAAGAAAATAAGGATGATGGCTTACTATAGCTCAATGCTGTTCTGGCAATGATCCACAGGGATCAGACAGCCTGATCACATAACAGCAGTTCTGGCCAGCTTGTTCTGGCTGCCTATATATTTCCAAGTCCAATTCAAGGCACTGGATTTAACCTATAAAACCCTACAGAGATTGGGACCACGATACCTGATGGAACACTTCTGCTACCCAGCCAGTATGATCAAGTTCTGGGAACTACCTTGTATTGTAAACGTTTTGTTATGTTTTAATATGGTGTATTTAAATTGTGTTTTTTAATGTGCTGTTGTGAACTGCTCAGAGAGGTTCTGCTCTTGGGCAGAATAGAATTTAAATAAATACATTTGAGAAAAGGGGGCTCATAAACAATGTTCCCATTAAAAATGGCAAGTCCCAGAGATCAATTAATGTTGCGAGGGCGGTAGCATTAACATTGATTGAAATTGACTCTGGCTAAAATTCATAAAGCTTGATGGGGACAACATTGCCATCTTTAATTTCCTTTTATTGATTTAACAACAGTGGTGATTCTCAGTGTACAACATATCTTTGAATACTGGCTGTGTTCATTTAATGGCACATGATTTCTGCTAGTGGTAAAGTTTGTAGGTTCATGGCACTGTTGTCTTCCATATCTGCAGATTGGGTAATTGGGTGGCCAGGGACAAAAGGTACATATTGAGCCTTCTGAGAAACAATGTCAACAGGAAGTTCTCCATACTTCCTTTTTTGTGGACTTATTCCAATTTTACACCAAAGGATGAACTGAGAAATTTGGGGAAATCCATGATTTTTATAGATTTCCATTTTTGCCTACTAATGTAGCAGATGTTTCTAAGAAAATAATAATGGACACAATCCACACACAAGATCAGTACTTAATTGCCATGTTCACATAACAAGAAGCCTATCAAGCTAGTAGTAGCCAATTTGAATATTTGGGATGCACCATAGCCTTTTGTTAAGGGCAAGCACAGAAAAGGGGAGTTGGCATAGTTCAAAACCCAAACCACCCACAACCCTAAAACAGCCCATGGGTAGCTTCCTGTGTAGCTTTTCAGCCACTCAACAACCCACCCCACCAAGTTTCTGCATAATGAGAAATTGTAACAGCACGTGCTTGAATTGCCAACCTGGAACCATGGGTGCCACAAATCATGATGACTAATACTCCACAGTGGTTTGCAATTATCATGGGAACCAGACTGTATCCAACAGTAGTCCAACATCAGAGTAGTCCCATTGAAATGAATAGGGCTTAGGTTAGACTAATATGAGATGCAACCCTGAGAGTTGGTCAAGAACTCATCAGGTACATTCGTGCCCTTGTGTATTTTGTTCAAATGTAAAAGAGATGTTCAGCATGGATTGATCATGGTGTCCAGTGTGGGGGATATTTTCACCAGCTGCAGATAAAGGTCTTTGGATTATTAACTGCTTAGCACTAAACATAGGTAGGAGAATATAGATATCTATATGCACTCAACGTGGAGATGATAAAATTACTCAGCATGATTATCTGGAAAATGGATGCCATCAGTGACACACAGGCAGGATCTGCTCCCTTGGTCAGTCCAAACATCTTATTTTACTTACTATGTAGCAGACCTCTGTTTATGCCCCAATCTGGATTGAAGCTGTAGTGCTGAGAGACAAGTTTAATTTTATGCTTTCCAGCTGTGATTACCCTGAAAACAGATCCTGCCAGCAGTTAAAACTAGGGAAAAAGCAACAAAAAGGAGGGGGGTGTTAAAATCACTATTAACAGCTGCATAGGGATTGGGGGACAATTTTCAGATGGGTTCTAACTAGGGCTGAAGCATTAAACTTCATTCATTCATGTATCGCCACTTCAGACCCAGGATCACTTCAGACCCAGTTTTGAATAAAGTAAACCAGAAACACCATGGCTTGGATCCAGGCTTAGTCATACTGTGGGCACCTTATGCATTTATTTAAATAGTTTTCAGTATGACCACACCTGGACACATCCCTTTGTATTTACCATGTCATGCAGTTTGACCCTAGCACTCCTGATTAACAGAAAATGGTGCAATCAGGTTCACAATAGAAATCTATGCATGCCTCCTTAAATGTAAATTGCACTTAGTTCAAAGGACTTACTCTCAGGTGAGTGTACATAGGAAGCCTTTAGTATATAAAACAATAAATTAATTGAAACAAACAACTGAAATTCTTATTCACAGGTGCATCCTGGATATGCATTAAATCAACTACATTACATTGGTTTCTTTTACTGTAATTGCTATCAAAATAGTGTTCTGGTAGTGGAGCACAAGATGTTCTGAGTACAGTGTTGAGCTAATAGGTGCTGTGCCATTAAAACTGAGGACAAGGTTCAGTGTCATTTCATCCGCCCACAGCTGTAAAGCACAGTATTCAGAAATGTGCACTGTTCAGGAGAAGAACAGCTAAGGAGCATTTCAAAATGCAACTGCAGGGAGAATTTGTGTAGGCAGAGTGTAATTACTCAGATTGAAGTGCAAGTACACTTGTGTACTCAGACTCATTCAAGCAAACTGCAGAAGTTTAATGCTTTCTTTCACCTTCCTTTCCAAAAATGCAACCTTCTAATGTAGCAGAGCTGCACTGCATAGCTGTTAAGAGCGTCAGACTAGGACCAGTGAGATTCAGGTTCAAATGCCCACTCAGTCATAAAGTTCACTGGGTAATTTTAGGTTACTTAATCTATCTCATTGAAACGTGCTTCTCAGAGTTAAGAGTGCACGTAGGAAGCAAACTAGGTACAGTGTACAGCAACCTGATGAGATCCTTGGAGAAAGGCTGAGATGAAACATAAGAAAATAAGAACTGTTGACAGCAATTTCAAACTACCAAGCCTCTTTACATCCAAGTTGATGGGTGTGTGCTAGGAAACAACTGTTCCGGAGAGAACTTCCACTGCACTTTTCTACAGTAGGGTCAGTGAGGCTCACAGCTGAATCCAAAGCAGTAGCCATTTCAGTTCATCTCTAGAGGTTAAGCAACTAGAGGCAGGTAACACAAGCGAATGACCAACATGGTTACCACTGACTATGTATCTTCTGGCACGTTTGCAAGCCCTTTGCTCTTCTGGACCAACAGCAGAAGACTGGACCATTATAGGTATTCCAAAGTAGCATCTGGTTTTGCGGATCACAAGTGGTGCAACTTTTTTCTGCCCCACTCCCCAGCTCTCTCCTTTTGGGGCTTAGGAAAGGAGGATCACAGAAATATAGGCACAAAAGTAAGCAAGAAACGCATCAAAATAATATTAGCAAGGGAAGATTCTTTGTCTCCTTTGGCCAATGAATGTTTGCAAGGCTGAAGAGAGTGCAGGGATTTATATGGGGCTGTTCACAGGCTCTGCCCTTTGCTGATCAGTAGGTTGGGACGAGGAACTCTTTTTCATCCCAAAGCCTTAATTGGCTTAATTGGCATGCTAGAGGCCACAGGCCAGCAGATGATGGTGACATAGCCCAAAGCAGGGGCAACCGACCTATACTGCTAGCATGTGAACCTGAAGCCACGTGAGCACACCGCGGGCTTTGTCTGCCTCTCACCTTTCCCACTCATAGAACAGATCAGAGGTAGGGAACCTCCACCTCCACCTCCACCTGGTGTTGAACTCTGACGTGAACTATCCATGTGTGAGTCCTGCTGCTGGTCACATCTGGACAGCAATTTGTGCTATCACTGCAGACAATCTGATGGCTGCATGTGTGTGATTAGGCCTACAAGCAAGTCCATGCACATGACTGGTAAAACCCTGGGGGAGGGGCGGAAATCTGAGTAATGACTGTGATATTAACCACTTCCCCTCTGTCTCGACAGATGCCTTAGACAGGTCTTGTTGATCTCTGTACCCCCATCAAGGGTGTTGGTTAGATTAGCTATGTATGACAACTTCCTGTCTGGGTACAAGACAAATCTCTCACGCCAACTTCTTGCCTCACTCAGCAGCTTGGGTGACCACTGACTAATGGTGGAATGGATGTTCAGATGAATCATGATGTTCCATCTCTAGGCGTAAGAGTATGTTGTCATTTAGAATGTTATGCATTTTCTCTAAATATGCAAATGAAACTGATTTGGATTTTTTTATTTTTATTTTTTTGTGCAGGTCTGCCAAGAGTTATATATGGAGAAGCTAAATGGATTATAATGAAGAAATCTAACTGAAATAGTTTATATATTTATATAATTATGAGCACCCTCCATAAAAATATATTTACACATTTATATCAATTTTCTTGTTATCTATTTTGCTAATTATAAACTGTACAAATGATATAAAAATACAAAACTATGTGTGTACATATCTAAAAAGTAAATTCAATCGTTTTAGCAGAGACAAATGTAGTATAAGTTCAAAAGTTAAGCTAAAATAAAATCTTTTTTTTTCAAAAAAAATCCTTTTCCTTTTTCTAAATATGATCCAAAGATCATGATAATATCCAAGACATGCAGACTGCATGCATGTAAGGAATAAACTATAACGTACAATGATGGTTTCCAGCCAATGAGAAAGTGAAGTAAATGCTTTAAAAATTCCTGTTGAAGTGTCTTTAGTTGGATCATATAAAATATATTTTTAATATTCATAACAGGTAAGTGAAATATATGGAATTATGTAAAACAATTAGATGGAGATGAACTCTGTGAAAAATAAAATCATACACACAATCCTGTATTAAAATTAATCAAATAGAATAAACCAATTACCTGTCTTCTGAAAACGTAATACTCACTATCCAATTTTCCCCAACTTGATGTCCTCTGAATTTTAAAATTAAGATTAAAGATGAAATGTGTTGGCAGATTAAAATTTCCAACATTTCTGAGCATGGGCCATGCTAGCTGGGGCTGATAGCAACTGGTCTGAAGTATGTGGAGGGCATCAGGCTGGGGATAGTGATCATAATTCCTAAGCAAAAGATCCACAAATTGAAGTAGGCTTCTGTTATGCATCATTTTCTGGATCAGCAGATATAGAGTGGGTCCACACCAGCATGCATCTAAAAATAAGTGTCATCCGTCCATATTGCACATTCAAATATACATGCTCATCTCAATCAAGTGGGAAGTGATCATGCACTAATACAATTACATGTAACTGGGATTACATGTAATTCATTTTTAGACTTGAAATGGATGGTGATAATAAGAACTGATAGTGGCTATTGCGGGGGAGTAGCAGAGTTTTGCATGCACGATGCCCTGGCACATTTCTCCAGGAAAAAGGGTGTCAGGTAGCAGGCTAGCTGGGAAAGGCCTGAGACTACTTACAGGTGACAGAATTGAGTTGGATGGATGGATGGTTTGATTCAGGCTAAGAGTTTTACTTCAACGAGTTTCATTTCTTTCTATGCAAAACACAGAGATGATTACAATAGAGAAATCAAGCAAGCAAAAGACAGGGACAGTTACACTGGTGAACACATGGATTTTTCATCAAAGAGTCAGAGGAACAGCCAAGGTCAAACACTCACTGTTTAGTTATGCAAAATCAAAGTCCAGAAGGCAGCATCAGGCAGAAGTCCAAAGGTCAAAAACAAAAGCACAAGTCCAAATCAGGGAACCACAATATTAAGAACAAATTGCTGAAGAACCAGCACTGTTGTCAGCAAAGGCTAGACTAAGAACCATCCCCTCAGACAAGGCTCAGCTGCAGCACATTCTAAGAAGAGCCCTCTTCTTGAGGAGTCCTTCTTAAAGGAACCCTGATTTACTTCTTAAAGTGCGGATGCCCTCTGGGTCATGCAGCCTCTGTCTCAATGGATGAAGCTGTGCTCTCTCTCCTGATTTGGAGGCTTCCATGGCATCCACCATTGCTGGGAGCAATAGCTCTTGGGAGGAGAAGTCCTCCAGTAGAACAGTAATATTACAGCAGGGTTATCTTTTATAGGCAGACCTTCTGATGGGGAATGATTTCATTGCAGAACAGAGAAAAACCACTGAAGTCATCTGGAACGAACAATCAAGAAACTATTGCAGATGTGAAAAACCAAGTTGTTGATTTAGATAGTAAGGTATCATTTAAATCAGTTCTTTGGAGGTAGGTGTTGGTTAGACCAAGGTTCTTCTTTCAGTTCGGTCCACACCATGTTGGACTCAACTAACAAAAGGACTGTTCTTCCAAATTCCAATTTTAGGACCAGGTCCTTAATCACAAAAAGGATATCAATGCTGTTTCATAAAGCATTTGTACGTGTGTGATTGCAAGAATTCCTTGTAATCAGTGGTTGGTGCTGCAGTCCTAAACACATTTACTGGGTCGAATCCAGGCTTACTGGATTGAACAGTCCCATTAAAATCAAAGAAACATGAGCTAGTAATAGCTTACTTGTCTCCATTATTTCAATTTGCCTACTATAAGCATGACTATGTCTCGATTCAGCCCCTTGGAATTAAGACTTGTGAACAGCAGTAGTTTTCCTCTTTTCCAAATAGATGGACATAGAACTGCAACCTAACTGTCTGTGTCTTGTCAATGGAATGAAGCAGGTAGACAGGAAATCCTATAGTCTCCAGCCTGCTGCGTATCTTCTTCTCTGGAGAAGAAAACACATGTGTTTGATTAATGCATGCAGAAGTGTCCCTCCATTGACTGAACATCTGATGGTCCCTCTTCCCTTCTAGAAGTAATTCATTCTTTTACAATAATTCTACCAAAGTTACTAGCTGCATTTACTCAATTTAGACATTTCTTTTTATTCCACTGCATGGTAGGAAATACAGCCCGGCTGCTGTATGGGGGACCAGGCCCCTCCCTCCACTGCAGCCCCTCCCCACATTCCAGAGGACCAGAAGCTTCTCCAGAGCAGCTTTTCACAGGGCAAAGAGGGCTACAGAGAAAGGAGATGCCCTACTTCTGCAGTGCAAGAACTGTGAACTTTGGATCCAAACCAGAATTTAAAATGTTATTCATATAATACACAGCTGCTGTCATTTAGAACAAGTTTCAACAGTAACTGATGCTGTCAGAGCACAACAAAAATGCTTACCTTTGTGAAATGTTTCCTCCACAATGGGTCCCCATTTCAAAGGGACTGTGATGATATGGATCTGCATAGGTTGCTACAGGGAGGGGAAATTTCTCTTTCTGAACAAAAAGTCATTTTCTCCACCCTTTCAATTGGTTGCAGGGGTGAGGGGGGGGGGGGGGCTCCAGTGGGACACAGTGGGGAGGAATATTTGCCAAGAGGACAATACAGGAGGGAGGGCTTCAACCTTTCCTTCCAGTGTGCTGTTCCTGCCTGACACTTTTTTTTAAAAAGCCATCAACTTAGCATGTGTAGTATTTCCCATTTCGATCCAGAGTTATGGCATTAATTCTTATTACTGATTACCCAATACTTAAACACTAGTTCAAATGTGTTCATGTTCAAATGGCACTTTCAGTCTCCCTTCTTTTACTGGTATGTAATTTATAATTTAGACATGATAACAAAGTGTCAGGTGCCATGCTGAATAGTTAGGCCCTTGTTCTTTCGCCAATATTTTGCATATACATCTCTTCCCATTAAAAGGTTTTTTATGTGCAAGCAGGAAGAGAATAACATCTGATTCTACACTTTGGACCATTATTTCATTAAAGGCGTTCTATAGGGCCAGCCTAGTCATTCTGTTGCATCATACCCTAAAAATGGTCCTGTTACTTTTGGACCTGAAGGAGAAAATTCTACATGCACCATTTATACTTCCTAGCAGCAAAAATACAACAACAACAACAAGAACAAGAGTGACAACACCTTGCTGCCCTGAGACCCCAAATCAGAGCTTGAAAGCACTGCTTTCCTCTGCCCCATCTTAGGGGCAGCCCTTGAATTTCAGCCACCAAAGATGCAAGGGTGCCTTGGCTTCTGTACCATATCTCCAGAATAGTCCACTGTAATTGTTCATTAGCTGATGACGCCTAATAGGGAAATATACCAGCTAGGCATTCTTTTAATATAATTTTGCTATAATGTTTACCCTTCTTCCCACCAGCCAAATATTAATACTGAATTCGCATTTTATAAAGATTTTGGACTCACATGGCCCCATTTAACCATGTAGCTTTTTTCTTGCTTTCTCAAATTCATAATTTCAGAGTGCATATTGTACATTTTGATACCCTACTGTTTTGTTGTAGCTAGCATTTTTCCAAGATTCCCTGGGGCTGAGCAACTTCAAAGTTCCATTTAAATTCATTTAGGACACAATCCGATGGATGTTTAGACAGAAAAAAGGGCCTATAACTTTCAGTATATCCCAACCAGCCATGCATATTTTTTTCTAGGCTTTGCACTTTTAAAATAGTATAAGAGAGTAGAGGGATATAAGTTAGGGGACTCAAAACTGTGATTAAAGAAATAAAAACACATATTCATTACCTGAATATATGTTAATAATATAGACAGGCTTAGTAACATTTAGCTGCTGTGCAGAACAACATTACAGCATTCAAGGAAAGCATCTCAGGGAGCAACAATAAACACTGCCTTTACCTTGACCACCAAATGTTTCATGGTTCCTCAGCTGTTGTGTGATTTTTCTCCCCAGTCTGTAATGTTGAAATGGGTCTCCTAGTGCTTACTTAAGAGTAGCAAGCTAAAACATGTCAGTGACTCAGATATTTTCGCCTGCTGTTTGTGCTTTCCACCACTGGAATTCCCCCACCCACTCCACCCACCATCTCTGAAACCAAATTCTGCCATCTGGCTGAAAATGGTTTCTTCTCTCTGCTGTGGGGAAATGGTCAGGTAATTTTTCTGAGTCCCCTTGGATTGGCTCAGAAAAATTGCACCAAATCTTCCCATTTTGTGGGCAGGAAAATAATTTCTAGGTTAACCTTTAGGTGAATTCACCTGTCTTCCATTACTGTTAATATGTTTTTCGTATCATCCTTGGGAAGAAAGGAAGACTGAAGCAAAGTGCCGTTAACTGAGTAGCATTGATCAATGTCTCCCCTTTGGACATCCTCAAGTTGCAAGCCCATTCATTCACTCATCCTTCTTGTCAACACTCAAGGTTATTGCAGCTGAACAAGCAGGTCATTATTTTTTTCTTTCGGTTAGGTTTGATCTCACAAATAATCTCTCCTGAGGTCACCTAAGTCTTCTAAATGTCACAAAGCCACAGAAGCACATGTGACTTGGGAGTGCCTGGAAGCTGCCCACAATCCCACATGATACATCTATGACTCAGACTCTGGATTGGCACGATAGTATTCTCATTCTGTTCTGGGACTCTTCCTTTGATGTAGTCTGACAGAAACAGCATAGCTGCACTGATGGCATTTTCTCAATATGGCAACATTGATGCTCTCTCTAACTGAGGTTCTTAACCAGTTTGAGTGCTTGTCCTTTTAAAGCAGTGCACACTAGAAAACATGGATGAACGACCTATGGATCTACAGATGTTGTGAACCACAATTTCCCATCGTCCCTGATCATTTGCCCTACTAGCTAAAGCTAGCTAAAGCTAGTGGAGCCAGAGTCCAATGGTTCGATATTGCTGATGGCCACAAGTTACACCTCTGCTATAAAGGCTTACTGTGATAGATTTACAACTTTGCACAAGAACTCTGATCTGTTGAACCAATTCCACAATTTAGACAAGGTCAAGCAAAGGTTAGAGACTGTCCCAAGAGTTGGAAAAAGAGATTAAAATGTTTAGAGAACCCAAACACTGGAGCTCTTCTTTCCCCTTAGATTAATGAAACATGTCTATATTCAACAAATCTCCAAAAATTTATACTTTGGCTTTTCATGATCCGTGTAAAACTAATGCCAAATGGGATGAGAGGAAGGGATTGGATAAAGATTGCTGCATAGGCCATATGCCTTTTCATGGGAACTGTCCAATAAATGAGATGTAGCATGCCTCTGGCATCATAACAAGGAGGGAGAGGAGAGGCAATGGGAGGCAGCTGCCATTGGATGGCAGACACTGCTCTACAAAGGAAATTAAGCGCACATGTGCACATGCACAAACACGCTGTGTCTAATTCAGTTTCAGTCATCAGCAATCTGGAGTGGGCCAAGTTAGTTGACAAAACATTATTTTTTAAAATGATTAAAAAAATCATCCACCTATGTTTCACCACAGCTTAGAAAATATAGACTTACATGTTGCACAAGTACAAAGAATACAGAGTCATGCAATTTTGCCAAAGATGGGTACAGTAGAGCCCTTCCTCGTGCAGAAGATGAATCCTAGACCCAGCCCTGTGAATCAGTTGTGGGATGCTCAGAAGTCCCACTGGCCTGACTGCTCTCCTCCAAATCCCATACGGGCACTCAGGGCCCAATGCTTGTTTTGTCCCTGCGTGTTTCCCACTTCTAGCCTGTAAGCGTTTGCCTACAGTATCAAATAATTGGTTCAGCACCCAAGAACTGTTGAAATCATTTAATGACAGTTTTGCAAATACTGGTATTTGGTTGAAGAAAGAAATAGAGGGCAAATAAAAATGGTGGCCTTATGCCACTTGCGGGTATGAATACTTCCTATTTCTTGATTGAAGAGTGTAATTAGCCAGCCCTCGAAGGCATTCCAGGGTTCTTTGTGGGGCTGGGCTGTGTGGGAGAGAGCGTGCTTGTTTGCTTTTATGTTCAGGGATAATCTTTCTTAAAGGTTTCATTTAGCTAGCTTAGTAGGAACTACTCATAATGAAATAAAATGTTACAAAATTCCTTACAACTCTAAGATGAACATTCACTTATGCTATTACACTTACAAGCCCATTTGCAAGGATTTGATCTATTGACTTTAATAAAATATTCTCCTGGCTGTGCCCCTCTCATTGCTAAACTGTGAAAAGGCAATCTTCACACCACTTAATGCCAAACCTACTTCTTGGAGGTTGTTTGGGGCATGCATCTGAAGTCAAGCGAAAACTGAAAGCAGATGTACTTGGGGAAAGGATTGGTTTGGTTTACAGTGTAAAAATCATATTATTTCTTCTTCACTATAATCCACATTGCTACTCCTTTTCACAATCTGATATTTCTTTCCCCAACACAACTGCTGCCTATTTCCAATGCAGACACTGCTTTAAAAGAGAGAGAGAGAAAGAGAGAGAACAGGTTTCAGAGAGTCCACCTCTTAGATGTTATATGAACAAACACTCAATGGTTTTTGTCAAATCTTCATCAAAGCACCACAGTATGTTCCCAAAGCATTTGGGAAGAATGGAACCTTAATTTGGGCCTAAGGGAAAGCCCAACAGGCTATAATTTCATGTAAAGGACCCAGCTATAACAGAATTGAAAAGAATTCTCATAAAGAACAACATGAGCAAGTTGTGCATATGAAAGGAAATGTACTAAAATCTTTGTCTTACTAGATCTATAATAGCATCAAGCTCCATTTGAAGGAAAAGATAGCAACTCAATACAATGAACTCTTTGAGCACACACTTTAAAAAACCATGACTGCATCCATCCATTTATTTAACAGTTAGTAGATTTAATAGCTATCGCACCTTTCCTCCATCAAGGAATTCAAAGCTGCAAAAGCTCTTTCCTTCAAGCTTTGACTAGACCCAGACCAAGTGATTCATAATCTG